TGTGCTGGACGCGGCGGGGGGAAGGGGCAATTTCCCCTTTTCTCTCTAACCGCGTTGCTGGAGTCTCACCCTTTCCCTTGGCACAGAGTTGCCTCTGCCGTGCCCAAACCATAAAAGCTGAGAAATTCCCCAGATCGCTTTGCCTCTCCTTTCCCCGCTCTGCCCGGGACGCGTCCCCTTCAAGGCCCTGCAGCACAACGGGTTCCTTACTCTATCTCTGCTGCAGAGATCATCATCCTTGTGTCGGCGACGCTGAGGAGCAGTCCTGCAGCCATGTCCTGCGAGGGCATACGGGAGGGCAGGATCAGGGTGAGCAAAGGGCACTGCCCGCGCTCAGCTCGGGCACCATCCCCGTGCTCCCCACACTCGCCAAGCACACTCACCACGTTGATGCTCAGGAAGCTCTGGAAAGTTGGTGAGCCCTCCCCGACATGGACGGTGAGGAAGAGCTTCAGGGCTGCCTTGCCTTCCTCCAGCACCACCCGAGGTGAGCTCCGGAACACGGCTTGCAGCGTCACCGGGAGGTCATCCTGGAAGAGGGAGCTCATCTGCCGAGGGAGGGGGGTTGGTTATTCCTTGGCATGGACCGTCCCCTGCGTGCCCTCAGGTTGGTAGGCAGGCAGAAAAAACCCGCGCCGTGCCGCTCCGAGCGACAGCAATGGCAACGAACCTGGGTGATCTTCTGTGCCACGGTAGCGGTGGTCAGCGGGCTCTGAAAGACAAAGCGCAGCCCGTGATGCGACTGACGGCTGATGGGACTGTGGCTCGTGCCCAGCGCGGCTGCACGGACCCCGCGCTGAGCCCTGTGCCACTCGTGTGCCAGGAGCAGCGTTTTGGTTGCTCTTCATGGCAAGTTCCCCGCACACCACGAGACCAGCGATGTTTTGGGGAGCCCGGGGCCGAGGGGCTGCGGGTCCCACGGGCCCTCGGGGACGTGCACTCATTTCTCTGCAGAGCACACGGCTCCTCCGAGCCGTTCGCAGGGCAGGGCCGCCCCTCCAGATGTGTATTTTCTGCTCCGTGCGTGCTCTACTCACAGGAATGGTCATGTTGAAGGCTCCAGCGATCTCCAGGGCGGAGAAGAGGCTGGTGTAGAAGCGCTCAGAGAAGGCCAGGGTGAGGTGGGCAGGGCTGGAGCTCGCTGGCACGGGCATGCTGAAGGGCACGGGGCTGACTGGCAGTGGGATTGGTATCCCCGCCACGTGGAAAGTGGTCTGCAGGGACACGGACAAGGAGAAAAGGATTTTGAGGTGTCCCGGGGCACTGGGAGGAGGCGGCTCTCCCAAAGCCTGGAGCAGGGTGGTGAGCACTGGGAAGGGAGGACTTACTCGCAAGGAGAGGGCGATTCCTTGCTTGGAGAACACGGGTGCAGCCAGGGGCAGGTACTGGACCTGGCAGCTCGGCGTGACGGGGAGCTGAGCTGCAAACGGAGCAGAGAGACCCTCAGGAAGAGGAGGGGAGTGGTGATGGCAGGTTGGAGTTGGGAAGCATCCGGGTTTCCCAAGTAAAGAGCCAGGGGAAGAGAGATGGGTGGGAGGAGCGGGTCCGCAGGGACATGACAGCAGCGGAGCTGCTGCTGCTGGGGGTCTGCTGCAGGGTGGGAGCCCATCCCATCACCTCACCTGCTCCAAAACGAGCCCCGAAGCCCTTAGTCCGTAACGAGACTGGAAGCCAAACGCTCACCTGTCAGGGACATCAGCTCTTCGTTTGGCAAGAGCAGCAATTTGGAGACTTCCAGGCAAATCTGTGGAATAAAGGACAAAAAAAGAGGTGGAAGATGAACATGTGGGTCTGATGGCATCAGGCGTCCCCCGAACGCCTCTGGAGCCGGTGTCCCCATCGTCCGGCCGTGCGGCAGCTGGGAGATGGGGCACGGCAGTGTCGGGTGGCCCCGGGGCTGCGGGGGGGACCTGGCAAAGCACCGGGTTGGCTCAAAGGGCGCTAATCCTTACGGAACTGCGTGACTCCATCTTCTGCTGACGCCTTTACGAACTTTATCTTACCTTATCGACGTTAATCTCATCGTCCGCGTCGGAACTAGAGGACTTGCTGGATGAAAACAGAACGGAAGAAGTTAGGCTCAGCCAGGGCAGGTGAGCTTTTATCTGGCCCAGGGACAGCATTGCTGTCATTTTCTACCATCTATTAAGCTACAATTACAATGCAGAATCCTAAAACACTGACGAGTTGCTGTTGGAATTGCGTTAGAAACGTTCCTGCTGTGCTACTTTAAAAGATCCGCTCCCTTATGAGAGAACAAAACTCTCTTAAAACGGGGGAACCAACCCCGCAGGCGGAACAAAGCTCCTCCCGGGAAGGTCACGTTTTTGTGTCGACCTTTGTAAGCTTTTGCGGCAGTGAGCAGGTCTCTGTCATGTCACCGTCCTGCCTAGGCTTGTGCCTCAGTTTCTTCTCTCCCCCCGTTACCCAGATCCCAAAACGAGGAGAGAGGCGGGTCCGACCTTTCCACCCCCTCAGTGCTCTGTGCATCCTCCAAGGTGGCTTTGCAGGGGGAGGTCACCAGCTCCAGGTTCCCTTCGGGGCTCATTTCCACGTGGAGGTCGGCCAGGATGGACAGTCTCATCACCTTGGTGGTCGAGCTGTGCCAGGGCAGGAGAGGCGGAGGCTGGAGGGTGGAGGCTGCTCCCGTCCCGCTCGCCCCGGCGTCCCCGGCTCTTCCCACACACGGCGGGTGCTGGATGCAGCCCCGTCACTCCGGCCAGGAGCTTGGGCTGACTCCAGCCCCATGTCCTTGGCACTCACGGGGCGGGTGTGATGCCAAGGTCCACATCGATGCTGAGCCGCAGCCCAGCGTCAGGGATTAGCGACAGGGACAGCTCGGCGACTGTGACGGAGTTAATCTGGTTCCTGCTGGAGCGGAAATGAAGGTGTCAGGAGACTGGCACAGGCAGGGTGCAATCCCTGGCTGCTCCCCGAAAAGTCCATGAGATGTGCCCGGCGTGCCCCGGTCA